AGATAGATAGATAGATAGATAGATAGATAGATAGATAGATAGATAGATAGATAGATAGATAGATAGATAATAGAAGTTCTTGGCTTCCTCTCCATGTTATTACATGATCCAAAGTATGGTGTAATTAATAATCATAGAAAACAAAGGATAGGTAAACAGGTTGATTCTTTTACTATTAACTGTAGCTGTCCATATCTTTCTATTCTTGCAAAACATTCTACTACCATAGCCATGCACAAATTCCTACACAGCTTTTCTCTCTTTTTCAGGATCTCATTAACTCAGTCCAATTGCAACTTTCTCTATTCTCCCTTTCCTCTGGATCCAGTCACTCATCCTCATTCATTATCTCTGTGTGACCAAGCCACCTCAACATACTTCTCTCATACTTCACATACACAAATGTGTGTATGTGTGTGTGACATACCCAAATTTCATACAAGAAAGCGGGCAGCAGCCATTTTCATTTTTATACCCATGTACAGTATTCCTTGTATTACACTACTACTTTTGATAAGCATTGGCATGCCTTAAAATTTTTCTGTTTTCCAATTCTAGTAAACATTTTACCAAGGTATACAGATTCATTTACTGTTTATCTTACTTATTACTTCTCAGTATCCCGCTTTTAAGTCATAACTTTTTATTGGAAAAAATGCTTTATTCTTGTTGTCATAGAAATATTTTTATTTTTCATGATCTTCTCAATGTTTGCCATTGGCTGCCTTTCTGAAATTACTCTCTTTTTAATTTTTTTATTTAAATTTCATTTTATAATACATAAACCAAGAAAAAAATAGTTTCACAAAATAATTTCCTCTTTACTTCTCCAGCTCACTGTCTATCTATTCTTACATATATTTCCACTTGCTTAACTATTTTGTTCTAAAACTGTTAGTGTTCCCTTGTCTTCTGCAGTTTTAAACAGTATATTTAATATTTCATTAGTGCCTGGTGCTTTTTCTATTTGACAGCTACTGCTTGTCCAAAAGCCATAATAAAAATTGGTTCATTTGCTCACATTGAATATAGTCTTGCTTTGTAAGTATATTTGTTTTCTGCAAATATTTCTGCCATTCTAGAATTCTGTTTGTAAAGTGTTCAACATAGTCTTTCTATTTTCCTTTAACAACATTTGCTTCTATAAGAGCTCTTTTGTAAATTTTCTCGAAACTACTTTAGCTATATATTTTCTTGCAATTCTGTTAAACTGCCTCCTAGATTACTGCATTTATCCAGCTCAAATTCATGACATTTCAGGTTCCTTTGTTTCTCTAATTTTTGCATTCCAATCCCCCATCAATAGGACCATCTCCTTTTTTGAAATTGCATTTAGTGCCTATTGCAATTTGGCAGAGAATTTTTCAGCATTTTCCACTACTGTGTCTGCAAGAACAGAAATTGGTATAACTTTGATGCTACTTATCGATAATCTTTTTTTAGCATCATTGCCACTCCATTTGTTCATATCATGTTTTCTAACTGGTTTGGTCTGATTCATGAGAACTAGTTGTTAAATATCTTTGGGGACATGGCACCTTTCCATTCCACCTTCAGTGGGATGTGCTGAGAAGGATAAAGTGGTAAGCCCTAGCAGAAATGCTTCCAGAAGTACTGGGGTCTTAAATATGGGGCAAGCAGCTGCCACCACTAGCTGGGAACCTGAGCAGGAAGGGTATGGAAGCTGTACCTGAGCACAGTGGTCCTGCAGGCTTTCTTCCACTCCTTATCTGCTGCGATGAGATGTGGACTGATGCAGAGAAGGGGGAGAGGAATACCAAGAAAGTATACAGGAAGAGGTAACTGTGCATACTTCCTTTGATAACTACTTGCTTTTGATTTTTAAACCAAAGATTAGAACAACAGCTTAGGATGAAATTCTATGCACATTTAATTGAAAGAAATAATTGCCTGTCTTCAGAATACCCTTGCATAGTATTATATCAGTACATCAGATTTCTTCTTAGCTATGTTTACTCAAATGCAAGTCCTACTCAATGCAGTAAGACTTATTACTCAGTAAGTACCATTATATCTGCAGACTTTAACTCAGTATATTAAGATGTTTATTTACAGCCAAATTACAAGGAGAAAAAAAAAGATACAGGGAGAAATGAAATATATATCAAGGTATATTACAATATTTAGATACAGTGCTAAGTGATTCTTTTTTCTTTTTCTTTTTTAACTTTCAGAGCATGATGAATGTCTCACAAATCAACACAACTGTGATGAAAATGCATTGTGTTTCAATACTGTTGGAGGACATAACTGTATTTGCAAACCAGGTTATACTGGAAATGGCACCGTATGCAAAGGTAAGGTATCACAACATGAATCAGATTTCAGATCCTTTTGTTTCTCTAATCTTTGCATTCCAGTCACCCATTAGTAGTATCATCTCCTTTCTTGATGCTGCATTTAGCACCTGAAATTTATTTTCTACACAATACATGCTAAACCTACCTTGGTACCTGAAAGATGAATGTAATTGCAGTTCTGAATTCAAAGAGTATGTATGTTTTATCTATCTAGATATATCAGCAAAATAATGATACATTATTATATAAATCATCTAAAATCAAAACATAACAATTTAGAAGATGTAGAGAGTAAGGAAGATGACCTTGGCCTAGATTTGCAAGCCCTGTTACCAAAGTGCAAAGGGGTGAAACACATCTTAAGTCCACCACAGTTAGTATACAGAAGAATCTCAGATGGACACCTCCCTAATTCACAGGAGTATAAGAAGGGACTTATTGCACAGACTTGCAAGATTCTGTTAGAATATTGTAATGTCAATTGTGTGTGAAAATTAGATTTAAATCATTTTTAGTCAGGTATTTGATAAAACATCCTTCTGTCCCACTTGGAATAGAATTGAAGATCCTTTATGATTTTCTTTTAATGGTTTCAGCCTTTTGCAAGGATGGTTGTAGAAATGGTGGAGCTTGCATTGCCTCCAATGTCTGTGCCTGTCCACAGGGATTTACGGGTTCAAGCTGTGAAACTGGTAGGAGATCCTTTACTATATTTACCAAACCCATAATTGAATTTCTGTGTATGACTAAAAAAATAATATATCATGTCAAATACCATGATTTCTGTTGAATGGGAGAAGACTTGCCAGGACCCAAGTTTACTCTGTGAAAATTTGGCAACAAAATTGTTAATTTTCATCAACATTTTTTTTTTCTCAAAAGGATATAAATGGGAGAGGAAGCAAACTTCCCCTTTTTCCATCCTTAGCCCTGCCCCACCAACATCCTAAAATTACACTGCTGAAATTTGGTCATTTTGCTACCAAATTTCAGCAGCATTTAGTGTAGAGGTAGAAACCAGAGCAGTTTGCTTCCCAAAACTCCCCACTCTCTTTCCCACCCTTAAAAAATAATTAAACCAAAATATCAGCTCCCACCCCAAATATTCCTCTGATGTCACTACTTTTCCAGGGACATAATCTGCAATACTCACCCCCCCCCCCCCTATCCCGCTGGTCAGGGAGTAAGTTGTTGTCTCCAAATCACAAACTGAAGTAGAAATAGCCATGTGTCTACCACTAGTTAACTCTACATTACCAAATTAGTTTTGCCTGGTAAAGGTGAACATTGTATGTGCTGAAGGTTTTTTTAAGTGTGGAAACATGGTAATCTTTATTTTTGCTATTTGTTTACATGTGAATATTTTTTTAATATGTGATACATTTTAAATTGCTATCAATCCAAAATCTACAGTGGATTTAGAGATAAATCCAGTTATTTAATTTTTTTCTTTATTTCAAGTTAGTTAAATTACTTATGCCTCATTCTCATATGATCAATCTATCTGTCTATGCATGAAGTGAAATATTTCCCATCTTATCTAAATATATATTAAGTGTGCATATGATAGCAATACATCTTACAGATTTATGGTCACTATCCAGTCAAACCATTTCTTTGTGGCATATCTTGTAATACATACAACTTAAATGCATGATAAATGAAATTGCTGTTAAACATAAACTGTCATTAGGGAAAGAGTTTATTCAAATTAGTCTTCCCCCCCACGCCCCTACAAAAGATGTTGCTGTTTTTAAACATTGCTTGGTCATTTGTTTTTCCATACTGGAAAAATTACAGATTTTTCCTGTAAAACATGTATAGACTAGTATAGTACATTTCATCACATTTTACTCTTACTTTATTTTTTTCTTTACTGTTGTAAGAAATCTGGGAACACTTATACAAGGATAAAAAGTACTTGTACAGCATAGGAATACCTGATTAGCTATTGAAGAAATACTATAAATTTATCTTCACTACTGTGTGAGATATAGCATAAAGAAATAAACTACCCACATACTCTTGTACACTATTATTACTTTCAGAAATGAATATGGTTTTCTCCTTGTTCTACAAAATTCTTTGGGTGGAAGTATTTTCCCTTGACTATTCTTTTATTTACACCCAGTGGATATTGTGTGTAAAAAGATAAGAAATGCTAAACTATATACAAGTCTTCTCCTGGAAATAATGAAGAAAAAGAATTATTTGAAAAGCATTTCATGTCCTAAGATTCTGACTTCCACTGAGCAGTTAAGTTGTTGCTATAATATTGATTTCTGCTGTATTTTTTCTTTTCCCTATAATAGTCTAAATAGCAGATTTTGAAAATTCCCACTAGACCAACTATGGAGGAATGGTTGGTGAAATTGACAGATCTTGCTGAGATAGATAAATTAACTTCTTTGATTAGAGAAAAGACACTATATTTATTGGTGACTGGAAACCTCTGATGGACTTTTTGCGTAAAAATGAAAAAAATGAACTTGCGATTTATGGCTCTGATGATTAGACAGGATAGATTATAGAAAGAAGAATATTATGATGTCACGCTAGAGAGAGAGGTTAAAATATACTTGTACTTATAACTGCTGTGAAGAATATCAGAAGCCATTTCTTTGTATCTTTTTTCTTTCTTTTCTATTTTTCTTCAACTTTTTTTCTTTTCTTGTACTTTTTGCTTTATCTTTGCTTTCTTTTTCTTTTTTCTTCCTTACTTTATATTAGTTTGCATTAGTTTTTATCTTCTTTTTAAAATAATTTTCAATAAAAATCATTTTAAAAACTCCCACTAGAAATTTATCAAATATTTAACAAAAGAAATAAGATGGATGTTGCAATATTATTGGGCTCTGCAAGAAGGAGAGTGAAGTCTGGATTTAAAGTAAAAGTCCTTATTCATTCATGAATGGTAGATTCTATAATAAGTTACTATCTCTTGCAGTATTTTAGGAGTTCTCTCTGAGCCAGTTCATATTGACAGTTTTCCAAATTATTCACTTGTGGAGCAGGGTTAGTAGTGTGCATGGTTAATTGTATGGTGAACAGTAAGCTTAGGCTGCTACATGGATATTGAACTTTTTTTTAAAAAACTCTTGAATATAGGATTAGCGCCAGACCTTACTGGGCCCTTGACATAAAGTTCCTGTCGATACTTGTCAGCAATGATTCCTTGCTCTGTCAGTGTAGCTTCTTATTCCTAACATTACCTGCCCTTTCCATTCAGATTATGCTTGAGGGGGAATGAAACTAAACACTTCTGGTGGAAGAAACTACACCACTTGCTTTCTTCTGTAAGGAACCTGTAGGGTTAAAACATCTAACACCACATTGAAGGGTTTAGGAAGTTAAGTTACTGTTCCTTTTTTGCCTGTCACTAGGGTTAAAGTCTCATGTCCAAAAACATGTTGTCCTTTGCAGACATAATCAATTGGTACGATATCCTTGATGTTATTTTGGCTTGGGTACATACATTTGCAGAGATAACTGTAAACCATAGATTACCCTAACCATTTGGTGTGAAAAAGCAGCCAAAACAAGGAGTCGTAATCAATTGGTGCACGAAACTCCCTGGAGGCCAACAACTTTTTGGCAGGCAAAAAAGGAACAAGAGCAGGAAGTATTGTCTCCCTATACCATAAAACCAGTCACCAAGAGGAAATGTCTGACACCAGTAGACTGTATATTAAGTCATTAAATGATATAATGATGCCATTCACAGATTTTGCATGTTTAGAAGATTAAAATTCAGCTAACACAGGTAACTCATCTAACTAATTACTAACACCTATCTTCATTTATATGTCACTTTCTGTGGAAGTTAAATAGTTAGCACTGTGTGGTTGACCTCAGACATTTTGCCTCTGAAATAGATCAACAAGCAGGGCCTGTCCACTCTTTAATCCCACTCTCCTGCTGTTTCACAGAGATGATAAATAAAAATAAATTGGCCTTGTCCAATTTGGCACCTAGAAGCAAAAGGTCAACTTACTTTAATTTTAACTGACTTAACAAAAGCTTTTATATCTCACTAATCAGTTCCAGATCCATTTCACTTACTCATTTGTATGCTATACAGTCCTATGGTTTGTATTTCTGTTTAGGACCTCTATTTGGTATTGTACCCTAGGCTTCATATAGATCCGTAACAGAATAGATCTAACATATAGATCCCTGCATATAGATTACCTAAGAGAAGGTCCATTGAACTATATTTAACTTTCTCTTGGTTAGGTATGGTCGGGGTCACAGAATTAGAAAATCTTGTATCTTTATCCTAATATCTTATCTTTATTCTTTGTCCTTATCCTTATAATCCTACTTTATAGGATAATATTGAAGTTTTAAGCATCAAAAAATAAAGTAATTAACTATGATTTCTATACTAACATATGCCCAATTTTGGACATTGCCCATGTACTCAACATTCATTTGATTGCTTTAAGTCAATTAAACTGTGCAGTCTTATATTTGTATACTTTCAGGCATGTAAATATATATATAATATTGCAATCAATATGCTTGAAACATAGATCTTCAAAAAATGCTTAAAATCATGACAAGAATCTGTAGTTTTACAGCATTGCAATGCCATTTTTACTTTACAGAGTTGTATGTACTTGTCAAGTATGGATAGATTATGTAGCATCTGTTTTTAAATGATGCCAAAACTTTAATGTCTCATTTTATTCTGGGGAATTAGAGAAATCTAATAAGAAATTGAGGAAGATCCTCAAGTAAGAACACTATACCATGGCAGAAAAATGAATTAAAAATTGTGTCCCACCCCAATCGTAAGATTGCATTGAACTTTCTATCCTGCTCAGAGCAAAATAGCTACATGGTGTTATTCATTTCTTCAGTTTTTGTTAACTAGTTGACCTTCATAAATTATTAGTCTTGTGCAAACAATAACCAGCTGACAAATGTTTTTTAAGTTCTTTTTTAAGTTCTTTTTAAGTTCTTTTTTAAGTTCTTTTCCTTAAAATGAATATTAATAACCAGATTGTTCTTTATAAAAATAAATATAATAAGCAGTGACAATAGCTACTTTACTTACTGTGTCTTTGGCAAAACACTTAATAGGTTTGTTGCCTAATAAGAATTGTATGTACTTGTCAAGTACAAATAGATTATGTAGCATCTGTCTTTAAATGATGCCAAATCTGTAATATCTCAGGTTGTTTTCAACACTTCTCAACATTTATTGCAAATTCTACTAGGCTAGAGCATAGGACCTTTTACATTCTCAGGGTATCTTAGCTTATTTGCATTAATCAATCTTTTTTTCCACTTCTAATCCGTATTCAGGGTGAATGCATGCTCTTTTTAGACATCTGAGATGAAACAGGTCACCATTAAAGTTTGTGCTTTTCACTATGTAGGGATGTATCAGGATTAAATAAATTACACCGGGGTCAATTTCAGAAGCTCCTTTATACCATAAGAAAATGCACCGTAGTGCACTTTTTAAAAAGTAACTTAAAATGTTTTACAAAAGAGACATTGAATTTTCCTGTCAACTTAATCACATTGATCAGAAAGCACTATGAATAAATAATGTAGAAGAGAAAAAAATATAAACCAAGTAAAAGTTCCATTTCCCTCTTTCTCTTCCTTCCTGCCCTCTTCATTTTTTTTTCCCAAGAGCTTTTCTACTTCTGTGAATTCTAGTTTTCTGCCTTGCCTG